ACACACACACACACTATACCCCCATCTCTGCTGCCGTCATTTCCCTTCCGCAAACATGTTGTTTTAAATGTTTTTGATTTTCACTTTCTGAAAATGGAACTATTGGGTTTTTTAATGATATGATGCGCACGTGAACCCTGAGGTGCGATGTGCAGGTAAATTTTTGCCCTTATTGTTGCCCTGTATTGTCGGGAAAACGCGGCTTCTTGGAAAGCATGTAGTTGCAAAAATGTGTTTTGCACTTTGTTCCATAGATGCATATAGATACACACAGTTTGCATTGCAGACAGGGTTGTATTCTATTGGCTGGACTTTGGACAGTTAGATGCAAGTATCAATTCCCGACAAAAGACGTGTAACCCAGTCGCTTGACAAAAGTGGTGCTGTGCAATGGTTTTACTGTAATTACATTTTGACATTGCTTTGCTCCAGGGAGAGGGCTGCATCACGATGGCACTTGCCTATCCAGGCATGTCCGCATGTTTGTTTTCACCTTCACAGTCGTGGCCAGTATTGTTTGATAGATCCGTCACACCGTCGCTGATCATTCTTGCGCACAAAAGTTTGCGGATGTAATTTCCTGTTCGGATTTGCAACTTAATTGTTCATTCATTTTTCGATCTTGGCAAGGTTGCAACTCGTCCATGTCGGGCTGGTGGCTTGTTGCCTCTCCCCAGGGGAGAGGCTCGCACCAGCTGACTTGAAACTTCACCATGCCAAACTTGAATGTCTATTTTGTGCACGTTCAACTCCTATTCCCTTTGAGAGGCCAGCAGCATATGCAACGATTAAGAACCCATCGAATCTCTCAAAATTTGGGAAACTATTGAATTTGGTTTGCCTGAATTGCCCTTCGAACCCCCAAGATATCTTTCCAATTTGCGCAGAGCTGCATAATTTGATCCAAACAGGTGATTGAATCCAGCCCAACACTGTGGGCGAAGTTTGCTGCGACTCGGCCAAGGTCCCACAGCTTGAGGGATGCAATCAAACTGCACTGCAATGGTACATGTCTGTTTGATCATGTTCTATCCGACTTGCCAAATGCCATGCTTGTCTGGCAGGCCGAGTACGTTTGCCGCTCCCATTCCGGGCAACATGGAGGCTGAAGGACAGAGCATTGTGATCTCCAAGTTTTACAGTTCTACCGAGACTTGTCGTTTTGTCGTGTGGATTCGTGTGGTAAAACCGTGCAAGTTGGCCAGGAAGTCTCTACATTGGAAGTGGTAGTGCAGCACTTCGCCAGGTCCAATTGCAATAGACATGTGGTACGTACATTATTAATGTATGGTAGATGAAGTGTGCTAGTTGCAGGTCCTTTGCGATATTGAGCCCACTTCAACTCTTCAAAGATTGGCGTGGGACATCGACAGGACGGAAGGGCCAGTCTTTAGCCCCATGTAAGATGTGAAAGACAGATACAGCTCGTGGGGTTTGGTTCTGATATGTGTTGTCATTGATAGTCAATTGGTTGCGGACAGACAGATTTGCAGTTTGAAAGGCTTGACGATGCGCGAAGGGCTATCGAGAAGTCACCAGCCGGAAGGCTAGTTGAAGAAGACGAACCACAATTTGCATTCCCATGCAGCGGTAGATGCTGGAATCCAGGTTGAATCTCACGTTGGCAAGCGTGGAGATCCCTGTTTGCACTGGGTGCTTCAAAGGACAACCTATTTTGTTGCTTTTTGTTTGTACTTCTACCGTTGTCATTGGTGTGCATCGTTCACTGTTTGTAGCAGCTCTTGGGGCCAAGGAAGCAGAACAGGCGACTCGGAGCGTCTGCTGAGTCCACGAGCGGAGCCCTTTTGGAAAGGCACCTTGAAAGAGTTTGTGAGACATACTTCAAGAACCCTAAAGTTTACGCTTCTTACTCTGTTCCAACATGACACTTGCG